GAGGAGCCCTCAATTTCAACCCCGAGCTGCCAATATTCTCCTTTATTGAAGCCCAGGACGGTGGGAGGAGACCCCGCTTCCCAAAAGGACCGGCCACCTCTGGGCTGGCGAAGAGCCGAGGGCCGCGAGCAGGAGAAGCCGACCAAACTCACTGATCCCGCAGGATGTCTCCGTCCTGATTGGGGTAAAAGGCCAGCTTGAAGATGCGATTCATGACGCTGCGCTCGATCACCAGCTGGGCGTCCTGCAGCTGCTCCTCGCTGGCGTTCTGCCAGATGACGTCCTGGGCCATCGCCCCGTAGAGGAACTGGAGGAAGTCTTCCACCTGGGCCGTCTTGTCGTCCGCTGCCGTCAGCTTCTGGAAATCTTGGGGCAAGGAATCGAGAGGGTTAAGCGCTGGCAACGGCCCTTAGACTTATAGACCGCTTCACGGGGCTTCACAACCCTCTCTAAGCGGTTGACAGAGTCAGCCTATCGCCCCCCAACCATCCCCATCCCTGGAGCCTTTGCCGAGAATAAATCTGGTGTTTCGAATGAAAGGGGTGGGGGGCGAGTTATTCCATCTACTTCTTGGCCCCATCAACTTGGAAGATGTGATTTACTTCCGGTTTCTTTTTCCCGGGCTTTCCTTATTCTCCTCCCCCTTCCCTGTTGCCTGGTTTAACTATAAAAATACCAGACAGTTCTGCATATTGTCAAAGCAAGAATATACAGTATTTGCAGCGTTGACACCAAGTTTAATTCATTTTTTAAAAAATTCAACTGTAATTCAGTCAATCCCCTTTTAATTTTGCCAGCTGGGATTCCCATCGCGGGCTGCCAACCCCGCCCCGGGGGGGGGGATCCTCCTCACCCTGAATGAACTCTCTGATCTTGGATTCTTTGCTCTCCAGCAAGAGGCGGACGCACACGGTGGTGAAGTAGTGGTTGGCCACCTCCTTGTCCCTCAGGACTCGCTGCAGCAGCCGTTCCAGGTGGGCCTGGGTGGTCTGGAGGCCCTGGCGACAGCGGGTCAGGTAGGTGAAGTAAGGCGCCCGTTTCCTGAATCAGACAAGACAGCGGGCCTACCTTAGCCTTTACGCCCGGAGGGAATTTTAATAGATTTGTTGCATTCCTCTGAATTTAAAAAAAAAGCCCCTGTTGGGGCCAGATGGCCCCAAAAGCATGGCAAGAAGCCAAACCACAGTTAGACCAGCTTCTTAAAGGTGATTTGTTTTAGCAGAGTGGCAAACGCACGGCGCCTCTCCAGACTGACTGACAGGCCCCAAATCCATTCTGACAAGCGTGGAAGCATGGAGAGGTTGTACCTGTAATCCTCGGCGATGGAGGCCAGCAATTTCCGGCAGGTCCGGTTGTCGAAGCGCCCCACGCAACGCATGGTCTCCTGAAGCTGGGCCATCAAGTTCTTGTCCTGGAGGTTGATGGCTTCGGCCAGCTGGATTTTGAGGAAGCAGACGATTTCGTTGTCTGGAAGAAAGAAAGAAGAAATTAGGAGGAAAGAGGAGGAGGAGGAGGAGGAAAGAAGAAGAAGAGAGAAAAGAGAAGAGGAGAAAAGAAGAAAAGAGGGAAGGGAAGGGATGGAAAGGAGAAAGGTGAGGGAAGGGAAGGATTGGGAAGGGATAAAGAAGGGAAGGGAGGAGAGAATGAAGAAGGAAAGGGAAGGGAAGGGAAGGNGGGGTAGTTCGTTCCAGAGGGTGGGGGCACCCACAGAGAAGGCCCTCCCCCTGGGGGTCGCCAGCCGACATTGTTTGGCCGACGGCACCCTGAGGAGACCCACTCTGTGGGAGCGTACCGGTCTATGGGAGGGAATCTGTGGCAGAAGGCGGTCTCGGAGGTAACCAGGTCCGATGCCATGAAGCGCTTTAAAGGTGGTGACTAACACCTTAAAGCGCACTCGGAAGACCACTGGCAACCAGTGCAGCTCGCGCAGAAGCGGTGTTACATGGGAGCGACGAGTCCCTCCCAACACCGCCCGCGCGGCCGCATTCTGGACCAGTTGAAGTCTCCGGGTGCTCCTCAAAGGGAGCCCCATGTAGAGCGCATTACAGTAGTCCATTACAGTAGTCCAGTTGACTAGATCTTTGCTATATAACCATGAGCAGTAAATCAGCTTAACTGGAACTGAACGGGACGGTCCTGATTCTTAATCTCGTCAACTCTCCGCACTAAACTGGAGTAGATAAAAGTTAACAGAATTCAAGACTTAGGCCATTGGTGGGAATTTAAGGATTCCAGGCTGATTCCTCTCTTGACTCCACCCCCTCTCTTCCTGTCCTTCTCCTATAGAAGGTGACCTTTTTATAATGGATCTTGGTTCTGCTGATCCTGAGAATCAGTTAAGAGGATATGTAATACACAGGTGGGAGAAAGGAGTGCTTTAGGGTGGATTCAAGATATGTGTGTTTTTGCTGATCTCGGAAACGTCCTTATGCTGCAGAAATCAGGATAATACTACGTGACCCACCCCTTTTACGACGATTACAATGGGTAGGCTCGTAATTCGAGGAGTAGGTGTAAACTGATAGTAGGTTAGCAAGAACGGGCTAAAAGAACAGAAACACCTACAAACCTTGAAGGGAAGAAAATCGATCCGGGATGAAGTCATCCTTCTCTTTGTCTTGTTTTTCTTTTTTTCTAAACGGAATTGGAGCTGGGAAGTAAGCAAGGATAAAAGAAGTCACACTGAGCCATATTTTAATTTGCAACAGATCACTTTCTACACGACGAAAGGAAGAAGGAAAAACGGTTGTCCTAAAAACTAGTTTTCATCTTTTATATTAAGCATCTGATTCTTCTTCGAAAAAACATGTGGGGAGAAGACTTCTAAGTTAAGAGATCTGGGCACACCATCATTCTTCCTGCTTTAGGGTATTGTTTTTTTGGAGGATTTTTCCCCACACCATCCAAAATGCTCCTATTTTACGTCCTCCAAAGTTTCAGTCAAGTGTCCTGTCCTGTGATGAATTCTCGCAGGTCTTCGAGATCCCTGGAAACTATTTTTAAATGGGAAGTTGGTTACTCCCCACAGCCAGGAAGGCAATTTTGAATCTGCGTTATAATGAGGAGCGAACGTCCCCATTTATGGAAAATAAAACTGTGACACGATGTTCTAATTTTCACTGCTTTTACCGCTGGATGAACTTGGCTTTTGTCACCGAAACTCTGGAGTCGCTTCTGTTTGCTAGTACAGCTCCAATTCTTAATCAAGCAAGTGGATGGTTCTCTCTCTTTTTTTTTTTTGAAAAGGAAGGTAAAGGAACTATTAAAAAAAAAAAAAAGTAAATGCTTTACCTTTGGGCATGGCTGACACGAAACGTTTCCTCCACCAGGGTCTGTTTCGGTCGGACTTCTCATCATCGCTGTCTTTTCGGTCTTCAATCTATGAGAGAAATTAGGCTGAGCTGGATTCTGATATGTAAGAAAATCTACTTTCCTCTGGCTGATCGTGCAAACAGAAGTAGGGGCTAAATAGCACAATGCCAAGAGATTCGGACATACTTGCATACTGTTTAGAAAGCTGGCAAGCAAGCAAGGAGAGAGGGAGAGAAAGAAGGAAGGAAGGAAGGAAGGAAGGAAGGAAGGAAGCAAAAGTGAAAGGAAGGAAAGAGAAAGCGGGAGGATGGAAGGAAGGAAGGAAGGAAGGAGGGAGGGAGGGAGGGAGGGAGGGAAGGAAGGAAGGAAGGAAGGAAGGAAGGAAGGAAGGAAGGAAGGAAGGAAGGAAGGAGGAACGGACAGATCCTACCTCTCCCCTGCAGGAATCTTTGCTCGGAGATGAAGAGGAAGACTGCAGTCCGGGAACCATCGGCACCCCTCCGGCGTTGCTCCCGGGCCCCAAAAGATCCCGCTCCTCGGTCCCCGCTCGCCTGTTCCAGCCGGGATCGCTCATGGGCCTCCGGGCAGATGAGACGATGTCGGAACTCCGGCTCCGCACGAGCCTTTCGGGGTAGGAGTAGCGCTGCTTGAAGGCCTCCGAGTCGAAGAGCATGGCCGTGTGGGAGGCGAAGCTGGGCAGCCTGGCGTCGCTGCCGCCCAGGGTCCCTTCCAAGATCGGGGGATCCGGTGGCGGGTGAGACGGCCGGGCGTAGTGGACTTTGGGCCTGACCACTGCAGGGGAAAAGGCCGTGGGTGCAGGAAGGTGGCCAGGGGCCTTGGGGAAGAGGGAGGGGAGGCGAAGGAGCAGCGCACGAGGGCTTCCCGCGTGGGAGAGGTTACCTTCGTGAGAAACCAAGGGGTCAAACATGGCGAGAAGGGAATCCGCCTGGCAAGGAGGCGAGGTCAAGTGGCTGGCACCTGAAATGCGAAGATCGGAACAAAATTGGAAAACAACCAGCAAAATTCTTCCCGTGCTGAGCGCCGGCCAGTCTCCCAAGGCATGGGGCCCACTTTAACAGAACAACAGAGGGACCCTGGAGGTCTTCCAGTCCAACCCCGTGCTCAGGCAGGAGACCCTATCTCACGGATGTCCAGTCTCTTCTTAAAAACACCTCCAATAATGGAGCACCCACAACTTCTGGAGGCAAGGAGTTCCACTGCTTTATTTGTTCTAACTGTCTGGAAATTTCTCCTTAGTTCTAGGTTGCTTCTCTCCTGGATTAGTTTCCATTTGTTTGAAATGGTGTAGGGTGTCCTGCCTGAGCAGGGGGTTGGACTAGAAGACCTCCAAGGTCCCTTCCAACTCTGGGGTTACTCTTCTTTTTTTTTCTTACCGTGCACCGTTTCGTCCATGTCCGGGCTGGTGACTGAATCTTTCCCACCAAAGTCGGAGCTGCATTCGGATCGCAGGTCCTCTATCTTGTTCGGGATGTCTTCGGACGTTGCGCTGATACCTTTAAACGGACGACACGGAGCCCTCGTGAGCTTGAAGCTCCCGAAGTGCAAAACTAAAGTGGCGGAATTGCAGCCCACCCCATCGACAGATCTTCCGGAGGACGTGATGTAAACTCCCAGAATTCCCCTGGAACGGCCTGATCCTGGCTGAGAACTGTTAAGAGTGGATGGACACCCTCTAGGCCTGCGGACTACAATCCCCACAATTCCAAGGCACGTAGCCAAGGCATAAAATTCCGGCCTCTAGCGTATGCTGCTTAGAATTCTGGGAATTGAAGTCTCCCAGAGGGGGGGGAGAAAAGGCTAGCCTACTCAGCCGAAGGTACCGGATCCGGTTCCAGATACACCCAGGTAATATTTCTGCTTTGCTGCTTCCTCTAAAAGAGTGAAGCATGCTGGGCTTCGTGAGTAATTGGATCCCTGCTAAGGGATCTTCCATTCTTCTGGGGAAGGGGGAGGGGGGTTCTCACCTGAGACAACACTGAGGCCAGGTGTGCTGGGCCGGGAACTAACTTCTCTGACGTCGGTGTCATCGGAGGCGCTTCCCACACCGGAGCAGCTTTCCAATTCTTGCAGTCTCTCTTCCTGCTTCAGGTCTGGAGCTTCTAAAGAGGAGAGAAAGAATCAGATTCACGGATACATGCAGTCCTCAAGGTAGGACCACTGGTCAAAGTTACGATGCTGCCGAATCAAGGGACGTACAGCAGTCCTCGTGCTTACGACCATTACGACGCTCCCCGTGGTCTAAATTTGGGTGCTGTATTTATGACAGTCGCAGAGTCCTGGGGTTGTGTGAGTCCCCCTTTTGCATTGTAGGGCAGAATTGAACTGTCTTTCCCCCCCCCTCCTCTTCCAGGTTCACATTCTCCCACTGGGTGGGTGGGGCCACCCCAAAGGAGGTGGAGCCATCCAGTCTCTCTCTGCATAGCCACTTTGCCCCCTCCCCCTTTTAAGGTGGCAATAGGGAAGTTGTTAAAGGAAGATAAGAGAGATGGATATAAGGAAATATGGACAGAGGGGAATATTCGTCGCCCAGGGTTGAACTGTGGGGTCCTCGGTGCTCTTTTGAGCTTGGGGGGGGGGGGTTTCTTGCAGACATTTCACAACCCAACTAGGGAACATCATCAACGCTAGAAGGGAGTGGGCTTTGTGGAGTGAAGGAGGAGGACTGTGGGGTCCTTGGTGATCTCTGAGCTGGGTGGTTTTCTTGCAGATGTTTCATGACCCAACTAGGCAACATCATCCGTGCAACCAAACTCAAGAGCTACTGAATATAAACAGAGAGCAAGCCACACTCAGTAGCACTCATGATGTTACGTAGCTGGGTCATGAAACGTCTGCCAGAAAACAACCAAGCTCAGAGATACTATGAAAACAGGGAGCAAGCCACACTCACTAGCACTGATGATGTTAGCTAGTTGGGTCATGAAACGTCTGCCAGAAAACCACCAAGTTCAGATGCATAGCACCCAGGATGCATAGGTGAATACGGCTATATTGAGTTAAAGCCCTGGATGGACACATGAAGGAGAGTGTGAACTACAGGACGGTCATCTTAACGAAATGCAGGACACCGGCGAGAGGTTCGTATGAATCAAAGAGGTTAAAAAAAACAAGAATAAAAATCTTAAGCTCCCTAAAGTGATGGGAGAACTTCCAAAGTAAAGAGAAGGAACCGGTGACAGGTGACGGGAGGCAGACAGAAGTGAAGGAAGCAGCTTCTCAGGTCTGTTCCCCTTTCAATCATTCCACCTCTCCACCCTTCGCACGCTGGACAAAATGTTACCTATTGGGGATCCTTCACCTGAATCGCTTGGGAGGACCTCAATGCTCCAAGCTTCGCTGGTGGTTTCTGAGATGGTGGAGCCCGTGCAGGGATCAAACAGCACCGAGCCGGAACCAGGCAAACATAGCAGGCTGCCCAAGACGTTTTCGGCTGCAGCCCCTGGGAAGGGGAGGGGGGGGG